AAAAGTTTTAGTGTGGACCGTCAACTTAATGTAACCCACTAGGGCTGCAAGTTGATCTGGGTTAGGTCGGGTTGAGGCCAACCCTAGCCCAACCCTAAGTTCTAAACCCCCAACCCTAACCCTAATCCAATGCAACCTTCAACCCGATGTATACAACCCTAACTAAATTCCTTCAACCCTACCCCAACCCAACATTCTTCCCATCCTTTAAAATCTCATAAAACTATTTAATCTCAAATCTTAACTCACTTTTCACTATATATATTAATCCGGTGTTTTATTAGTATTTGTTTGTTGATGTTTTTATTGGTTCTTTTAGTACAAAACCGAAAAAAAAGTGTTTAAAATGACTATAGTTTACTATGATTATGACTTATGATAGATCTTTTATAGGCGCCAAACATTAGAGGAGTTCAGCTTCAATGAGGGCAAACTCTGTTCAAGCAGCCTTTACTGCCTTGCATTGAGAATATCTCTACACTTATATGCTTTATTTCATGCGGAGATATTCCCAATGCAAGGTTGGAAAATGCTATTACAACGGTGTGGGCATGGATTTGCCCTGACTGAATCCGGTCTCACATTAGAGAGGAGATGAAAAATAAAATATTCAAAAAACATAAAATATGTTATTAAGGTTTAAGACTTTTCATTTAGGATTAAGTGAAGTGATTATCTTAAAAGAAATACATGATAGTATGTAGTGAGGGTTATACAACTATCGTACATCTAAAAAATAAATGTATGATATATAATATATATATAACATATATTTATATATGACATACTATAGAGTCGAGTTCAGTTTGGATCGGATTGTCCATGAGGTCAACCTTAACCAAACCCGAAATAAAATCAGGTTTATGAATTTGAACCCTAACCCGAGCATCAACCCGATGCAACCCAACCTTATTTTTCGGATTAAGTTAGGGTTGGGTTCGGGCCAATCCAGCGCAAGTTGCAGCCTTACAACCCATCTGGATTTGGGGCCGGCAGCCTTACAAGTTCACACTAGTGTTTTCCATTAGAACTCCAATGATCTAAGGATACAATTCTACATTATATCATTATGTTATCAAACAATATTGCTGTTTTATTTAAATTAGAGGAAACCTTTCTAGATGGATAGATTTCCCGACATCTAGAAACTGGATTAGTAAGAGCTCAACTGTTCCAGCACCTAAGCCTGCGCACTATGTACACCAAAGAGCTCAGCTACCACAAGTCTGTCAATAATTCCATCCTTCACACACAATGTAATAATTGAATTATTTCTCTCTTTTAGGTGGTAATTGAGGGTCAATCTATTTTGAGATGGTTGTCCATTGAATGGAAATGTTTTGTTTGGCCTATCAAGTTTCAACACGATTCGGACTATTCAACAAATCGTGTGTGTGTTTTAGCTACAAGTCATCAGGTGCATTGAATTCACTGATTTGTTTTCACATCTATCCTTAGTCTTGCCAAAATTTTACAAATTTTAGTTTTGGTATCATTGTTGCTTTTCCCTACAAATCCAGTAAATGTACACCACCTTTTTTCTCATCTTGTAATACATCTTTCTTACATTTACCTATTCAGTAAGTCATGTGAATGGGAAGTTTCTCTAAATCAGTCCGATTCAAGCATTATTTTTTAGTTGTTCTTTATTAATTTTATTAATTTGTATTACTTTTACATAGAAATCAAATGGATTTTAAATTAGTAAAAATACTAACATAAATTTATAATTACTTTTAAGTGAAATTTAAATGGATTTTAAGTCGGTATTTTGAACCAGCCATTGTTGGATGGTCAAATTGTTCAAACCATCTCATGGTCATGATTTTGGGTTCAATTTTCCCAAAACCTAGGGTTTGGTCAAAAAGTTGTTCAACTCGAGAGGTTCAATTTTCACACTGAATGTATATGCAAGCTTCTAAAGACCATTGCTTTGCATTCGGTTGTCTGATTAGGATATCAATTTGGGATAATCTTTCAAGACCTATGTGTCCCAATGGTCAAATGTGCCTTGTCTTACTATTTTTGCCAAAAACCATTTTTTGGCCTCAAATCCCATTTTTGACATTTTTTAAAAGAAAAATTAAAACATGAAATATAAAAATATAATTTAAACATAAATTAATACATATAACATATAATTTATATGAAATATAATATACTTTATTTTATTGATACAATACTTGTTCATACACACATACATGCTGATGTGTTGTGGTCTGACCCATTTGACCCAAATGGTCAAACCAATGTCCAACTACCTGAAGGCAAAATCAGTTCAACCTCCGAATTGATTTTTAAAACATTGTTTTAAATTAATAGAAATTAAAATTCAGATTAATAATTATTTATTTTATTTTATTAGTAAAATCAATGTTATTAATTATTACTATCTTTTATTATTTTCAATTTTTAAATAGATTATAAACTATAATATTTATTAGTAATAATAGTTAATAATGATTAATTGATTATAGGATTAGTAATTATTAAATAATTATTTGTAAATGTTAAAATTGTGTTATGCGATTTGGTAGATAATCTTAGATGGTGGCCTTGGCCCCTTGAGTCCTTGACAGCATTCTCAACCTTATTTGCCCGGTGGATAAAATAGGTTCTGCGGTGGCATATTTTAATTCTTTTCAGTTTTACTTGCCATTTTACAATTTTCTTTGGTGTGTTTTTATTTTTTTATTTTTTTAATTTACATTCCCTTATACAATAGAAATAAAGTTGAAATTGCGTTCTCCTTTCCTGCAACTATAAGTCTATAACGCAATAACGGCAAAACCGAAGTAGTGTAGTGTAGCCTTCACATACACTTAGACGGTTTTAAACAATGTTTGTTCAAGAAAAAACAAATGCTAAGAGTACCAAAATGAACCAATGTTTTAAAAACCGGACCCAGAGGCCAAACCATTTTTGCTTCCAAGTCATATAGATCACTGGTTCAACCATCCAGGTTGAATGGGTCAGACCATGTCATGTATAAACATATATTTTATCAAAAAATAATGTATATTTATGTTCTACATGTAATATATGTATTATTTTATATTTAATTTATACTTTTAATTCAATTTTAAAAATTTTATTTGTAAAAACATTAAAAATTATGATTTGAGGCCAAAAAGGGTATTTTTTTGACGAAAAGTTGGAAGGTTGAATTATGATGAGGCTGCCAACAAGGGCTGTTTTGGCCATTTAACATTCTCTCAAGGCAAGTCCAACACTTGGAAGTTTACGAGGGCAAAAAAATGCTATCAGTCACGGACTCATAATGCAAGATAAGAGTTGCTTTTATAATGAAATTTGTTTTGGGGGTGATTATTTAGTGGGTATTTGGGTATTTAGTTCAGGAATTGGGTATTTGGGTACTCATAATGCAAGATAATGCAAGATAACGGTCACTAACAGTCACACTGCAAGATGAGATTTGGGTATTTGGTTCAGGAATTCTATGATTCTTATTGAATAGAGAAGGATAAGGAAGAGGTGAAAATGGAATTGGATCTAATGATTTATGTGAAGGCGAGATGGTAAAAATCTGGTCTACAGTTCTGAACAATAAACCTGGAGAGGTAGGGGGTTGTAACGAAACTGGAAGGGTAATTAAGGTATCAGGTCTAAATTGAGGGAAATATATTTAGAAGCCACTGGTGGTGGAGCAGAGGTTATTGACAAGAGGAAAAAATAAAGAAACATTGAAAGTGATTGATTAAAGGAAAAAGAAAGTTCTGCTCAAGATCGTTTATACCATTCCATTATTAGTGATTTAAGATCCAGTGGTTGTTGTGGCAGGAGAAGTGGTAATTGGGGGCTTAGATGCAGATGAGGTTCCACCAACACTCACAAATGTTGAAGCAGAAGCTTGAAAGATATGGTCAGGAATACATGCATTTCTTACATTATCACAAGTATTTGTAGACTCCTCGGTGTTGTGCAGTTCAATGGAGCTTGGTTTATATAATCTTCTCCCCAAATCAGGAAACTCAGGGAGATTACTCTTAAATAGACGGCAATGCTTCTCAGTCCACCTTGGTGAATGGCTTCCAGTCAGTGGATAAGAAGCTTGTGAGCTGAAAAGTGCCTTCAATAAGAGAGTAGAGTAAGGGAAAAATGGTCAATGTCCTGTAAGTTGTGACGTAGAAGTGGGAAAGAGGAAAGAATATTTTATTCTGATGAAGAAATTGCATTTTCTAAGGATAATAGTCAAGATTCATGGGGATCGCAGTAAGCACAATCAAGAAGGGAAAACCATGCTAGAGGTGGTTGCTAGTGAGCTGGCTCCAAAATCCTCAGTGAGAACCTCTCCCTAGACATTGTGGTTGCTGAAAAGGCAACAACGGAAGAAGATAGTCTATATCATCCATGGACTTTCAGATTCTTGATTAGAGAAGTTTGGTCATTCTCAACCACTATGAACTGTTCATTCGAGTGGGTACCAAGATCAGAAAACTCCCCCATCTGATAGGTTAGCCAGGAAGGTGTGGAAAGGACTGATCTGTTTTATTGATCAAAAAAAAAAGGACTGATCTGTTTTTGGAAACTAGGTTACGGAGATAATGCTTGCAGTGCTACTATGCAATGCAATTATATTATGGTGCTCTGTGGTCTTCACCATATGTGTCCCACAAGTAGAACATCTATGTTAGGGTTGCACCGTTTTAGCTTTTCATTTAATGTGCTTCCACTGATCCATTAGTGATCACCCAAAGAAACCTGAGAGAAGGTATGAATAAAAGAGGAACATCTAAGAACACGAATGAACAGGTCCAATATAAGGAATGCACATTGACAGCACCAAGATGAAGAAGTGCCTTGGATTAGGACATAGGAAACTAAGAAACTAAGAAGGATGATGGAAAATACATGGATCAAAAACAGAAATTGAATAAAAATTAAAAGTATTCCAAGGTTGGGATTTTCATCAGAGATATGGCCAATGATAAAGTGAATCACCAGAACAAAGATTCTTAAGCAACAAGAATAAATAGACGGATAGAAAGACTTGCATTCCCAATTCTTAGATTATTCAAGTGAACTCGCCTCCCTGTATGTTAATCCATCATAATCCTGAAAAGGGGGTGGAATTTTCTCCTCTATTCGCTCACAAATAAAAGCTAGTAATGACACTATCTGCATATACCAAGAAAAGAGGCAATGCCAAAAGTCTTTAAACAACAACAAGTGATTAATCAACAGAACAAACGAAGCTAATCCACAAATTTATGAACTTGTACAAATATAGTCCACGAATCCAACAGCCCAAGTTACATATAATCCAAAAGAAGCCTAAATTCATGGACGGGTATCCTAAATTCATTCGACTGAGAGTTCTACTTATCTTTGGTAGACACTCCATACTTCTCCTGCATCTTAGCAATCTCGTCTTCCTTCTTCTTCTGATCAACTTTCTTGCTCATCTTTGCCTGCTGGTAATACAACACGATGAGATACCGATTTGCAACGTTGAAGCCTGACAGGTGATCCACAGCAGTCTTGGCATCGTAGATATCTTCGTAAACAACGAAAGCTGTTCCCCTCGTATCCTTGTTGGTACCAATTCGTATCTGCCTTATAGCACCGTATTTGCCGAAGATATCGTACATTTCCTCGCTCGAGATGTTGAAGGGAAGGTTCCTAACGTAGAGAACTCTGTTCACTTCAGGTGGGAGGCGGGTGTTTCCCTTTCGCAGGCTGATGGTCGCCATTACCGTTCCTTCCTGCCTCGGCCTGCTGCGACGAAGCTAGGGTTTCGTTTCAAGACGAATTAAAGCTAGGGTTTTGAATGAAAAGAAAAAATGGAGAGGATGGGATGGAGCAGCTAGGGTTTAATCGAAAGGAAACAAGAGCTATGGGGCCTTCGGATCAACAAAATTCTAAACCCCCTGTGGCCTTCAGTTCGAATTGAGAGCCAAAGTCGAAGAATGAAGTTGAGGTGAACCCGGGGATACATACAGAATGCCAAAGGCGGTGGTTTGATCCGGAAACTCGGGATTCGGGAAGATACCGATCCGAGTTAAATCGTTGACTCGCTGGGTTACAATGATTTGTAATCTTTTAAAAGAAACGAATAGATAGACTTAAAAAAAAATAAAAATAAATATCTATTATGCTCATATTAATTATTCCAATCAAGTTAGTAGATTTTTGTTAATTTCAACTGTTAATATGAGCAAATTTGTTTAAATATTTAATGGTTTTTTTTTTTTATTTTATGGTTAAAGATTTAAAGATATATGAGGATTTTTTGTTAAAGGTTTAAGGGTATTTCAGTTTTCAAACATTTGATGATTTTATATAAGGGTAAAATGGCATTATGTTCAAATCCATGATATCAGTGGTTGTTAGATTTCTAAGGCCTGTTCACTTTTGGAAAAATTACTTCCATGGACTTAACTTTTCACTTGTGATATGGGCTATAATCTAGATATGGGCTTAGCTTAGCTTAGGTTCCGGGCATCAAACATAAGCTCAGGCGTAATTACAATCTTTTCTTTTATATAAATATTTTATATTAAATGGCATATAAATTTATTTTGTACATTATATGATATGAAATATTATATAGAGTATAGATTATAAGCGTCATGTTATAGTATTTATATATAAAATATATATATACATAAAATAAATTTTCAAGTCAGGATTAAATGATCACCCTTAGGGGAAGACACTTTGTCATCAATAGATCATGAAAAGTAATTCAAAACTGAAAAAAAAAACTAATATTCCAATCGAACAACTATAAAGTTATGGTCTTTGGAGTTCGGTTTGCCTTTACGTTTAAAAAATCAGAAAAATTACTGGTTAAACAGGCCAGATCAATGGTTTCGGATGGTTTTTAACACATTCCGGTTTGGGAGATATGACCAAACCGGCCAAGCGCCTTAGTCATGATTCAATCAGTCTGACCAATAGCTCTGATCCAGTTTTCCAAACATTGATCCACGCTGAATTTTGATGGAGAACGGGACCAATCAAATTGAGTTTCTTAATCTTTTTCATTGCATGACACATGGCAAGTTCGAGACCCCAAGAAGGCAGTCCCAACGAATTCATATCTGATCCAAAATCAAGGTTTTGTTGTAGGATCTCATCAGGAACCTAATCACCATTCATAGGATCAAGTTGTTTTTTTTTTTTTGGTAAAAATGGAAAAATCTATGATGCAGAAAAAATATGGTATGGGAAGAGTTTTGACCAATCAAAACACATCAATGAATTTTGATAAATAATACCTGATTGGCTACCACGTTTATGATTCCAGTAAATTGGTCAGAAGTTTTTCAGATATCATATCTTTTCCATATCATAGGATCAAGTTGGGGTCACGATTTCCAGATCCAACAGTGTGGCCCCACCTTGCTCACATATTAAACCGTGAGTAAGAATGCACTACATCACTGAAAGCTCTGATCCCACATAATATTTAGCAAATAAAAATAGTCTATAACAGAAAATGCGCAATTTCAGTTGAGGCCACGGATCAAAAGACGCCAAGTGGCAAGCTTTGATCATCTCCCAAGAAAATAGAAAATAGAAGCTTATAAATGAGATGAGGAGAGGGTGTTCAAGTCAGGAGAAGAGGATCGCAAGCAGGGCCATTCACAGATCCCACCCTCTGCACTCCTCTGATCCTCATCTTCTCGTTGCCCAGCCAGCCATGGAAAATCACAAGGAGAAGGTAAGGAGAAATGGGAAGTAAAGCAACAAAATAATTACTGTTTTAAATTTTATTCTGTTTAATTTTATTTGATTGTACTATAGAGTTCTTGGTTTCTCTATCACATTTTGTATAGAGATTTTCTTAATGAATGACTGATATTTTCCATTAAAATTATTGACTTAGGTTGTATTTGGTATAATTGTTGTTTTTATATGAAACGTTTTGGGTTGATCAATACAAATTTGTGAAAGAGAAGAGATATTTTATTCCCAACCATTTTGGGTTGATGGGTGCAATACCTGAAATGTCAAATAACGTTTCAATGGTAAACAACAATTACCAGTCCTGCACATGCATTGTTATTAGTTGAAATAAATAATGCATCTCTCACTAATTTGTATTGATCAACCCAAAACATTTTAAATAGAAACAGCAATAATACCAAATTACACCTTAAATGCTCCATGTTTGTGATCATTGAGATTGTGATTGGTCGTAAGAAACTGTTATAAAGTTTTCTGAAGAGATAATCCAAGATGGTGTTTTAATGCTTGCTGTGAGAGAGAGAGAGAGAGAAAGAGAGAGATTTGAGAATGAATGACACCATTGATGTGTTTCTACATGTAACATTTTGGGCCGATGCCGATCAATACAAATTGACGAAAATAGAAAAATGTGTATGTGGGGCTGATGATTGGCGTTTACAGTAGTTGAAAACATGAAATATCAAAATTGGTGTTTCAGGTAGAAACAACAAACTTGCATGGATCAATCTAAAATGTTCATATAAAAACAGCAATAGTATGAAGAAAGTACAACCATAAATCTCTCTTATATCTCTGATCACAATTTTCTGCTTCTTTCATCTCTATTAATGAAAGAATTCTTTTGTATAACGGAATTCTTCTATAACCTAAGAAGATTATTAGTCTAATATCACATTATGATCTTAATTAACTGAGGAAAGTCGAGATTGTATTTTTCAATGTGCGTTGACCAAGGAGAATTTAAATAAATACAAGGTTGATTATAGAACTCCAATTTCCCTCGGTGAAGAGATCATTTTTTGTGGTTATATATTAAAAGATGTTAATTACGCCATTTTTTTGAGATTTTTTTAATTACTGGCTTTACTAAGATTTCTTTTATTTTTCTTTTTTTTTTGATAAACGGCTTTACTAAGAGCTTGAAGCTAATCATTTTGATGCACTTCCCCAGAAGAATGGGTGGATGTCCGTTCCCCAATTTGGAGGGTGGGATCAGAAGGCTGGAGGAGCAACTGATTACTCTATGGTTTTTTCTCGCGCTCGAGCAAACAGAAAGCAGAACAAAGCTGATATCAAGCGCGCCAGCCTGGGAAATGAGAAAGAATTTGAGCAGAAAGAAGACCCTGTTGCAGCGGTAAAGACCCCAAAATTTCTAAAGGTAATTTGTTATACATACATACACAAACAAACACACTAAAATGGAGAAAGAATTTGAACTTTACTATATTTCCCCACTTAAGAGCCATTTGATAACAGCTGAGCTGACTGAACTAAATGACTTATTCTTTTGCATCTTAGTGAATAAGTTGTTATTAAGGATGTTGTCAACTCCTTAATAGTTGAAACAGAAGTCGGGTTGATTATTATCAATCAGGATTTACTGCTAACAAACTGACCGCTTACTATCAGTGTGAGCTTGTCATACACTGCAGGTCCCAAGTTAAAATAAAGGATAAGGGCTGCATCAGATGGATAACCAATACTAAAACTTTTGTCACACCCTTATGATCATGAATTCTGATTTGTCTTTTCGTGTTATCAATAGATGCCACAATAAATACATGGAAATGGCAAAACAGGATTCATGTAACCAACCAATAAGACTTAGATGATGATGAAATTGACAACAGACATGGCCTTGATTACTATACCCTCGAATGCTTTATCATTCAATTATTTTACCTATCAGAATACAAAACAAATATTTGTTAAATACAGCCAGTAGAGCTGTTATTAGACAACATATTAGACATTATTTCTAACCTATGATATTCACTAATTGCAGACCAAAAAGTCGAGAAAAAGGTCGATTCTCAGATATTTTACTTGCTGTGTAAGGCCATCGTGATTTTTTAACTACAAGTGCCTTACCAATGTAAATCCCATCTCTTCCTTTCTCCTTGTGTTCTGTACATCGTCATTTTGAATGGCTGAGCTTCATGTTTACCATTTGGTAAATGTATTCATTCAAATAAATGGCAATGGCTTTTGTAATCTAAATGGATTACAATGTGAATTTCAACTTCATAACTTATCACTTGCCAAAAAAAAAAAAAGAATTTATTATTTATCAAGTTTATGCATTCTTCGATCATATTAAATAATATACAAGTTTCTTAGGCCCAGAATGCAGGCCAGGCCACACTAGGTCCTAGGTTAAGCCCCTTATTCAAGGTTTCAAGCGCAAGCCAGTCCATGATCACTCTTTTCTCTAACCTTGCTAAAATGGAATTAGCAAAACCCTGGCCCATCCCTACCTGAATCTGGATTTACAGGCCTACAAATTTCATATATCAGCTTGCACCCCTAGTTAATCTGGTCTTGCAGGGTTAACATAATGAATGCAACATGTGTGGGTTCTTTGAAAAGAAATTATGTTTCAACCAGGAAACAAAAGAACGAGGCAAAAAAATAAACATATGGTTCAGCGCATAAGATGACAAAAATAAACAAATCTGCGAGAGGACTTAAGTAGTCATTTAATATCATTATCAGAACAATGTCTAATGTTGCAAACACTAAACAATTTTTTTTCTTTTTTTTTTTGTGTAGTAAACACTAACCAATTTGCAAACACTAAACCATTACCAAAAATAGTAACTTCTTGGAACGCAGTCCACAATCTTAATTTATTTATTATACAAGATGGCACTGCATTCTTTCCATCCCCCCATGTGCTTCTGTCTTGCTTCAAAGTAAATAATACTGCAACTCAAGTTGCAGCTTTGAAGCGCTGAACAGGAGCCCGCAAGGAAGAAAGGTATGTAGCATCAGCCTTGTCAATACCATTGAAAAGATAACTGAAAGGTGGCATTTCTATGTACCTTCCAGTACCAGGTAGAACCTTCAGCTCACCATCTTTCCACACAACTCTTCCTCCTGCAATTGTCACTTCAACTTTTCCCTGGGCAAGAGACAGAAAAAAAAATAACCATTTCAGAGCCTAACCCTACTAAGATTTTCAATTCAATTTGGGCGCTAAAAGAAAATCAGGAAACTTTTAGTTTATACACACAAGAACAGCTATATAGTTCTAATAATATCCACATGTACCGGTTATGTGAGTTGGTGGATCGTGGCCATGTGATGTGGAAACTGCAAATGGGCCAATAACAAATATAATGATTATTTTGTAAGCTGTTATCTGCAACATTTTACCTTTTGGAGGACAAGATGGATTTTGGCAAAGATTGACCTTAACTTGAGGAGGATATTTTATATCTTATGTTCAACAATCAGCAGTTGCAGGATTAACAAGAGAAACACAGCATACTGAAGGGCCTAAATAGAGCACTAACGTTTTTAAGAAAAAGGATACATAGAACCCAGCTAGTTCATTGGCTTCTCTACTTTCCATCATGATTGCTAATTGTTAGTTTCAAAGAAATAAACAAAAATTTGCTAGTCATCCCGATTAGCACTGGCATCAATGGGCTTCTGGAGGAATGTTGTAATGTTTCAACTAACACTATCAAATTTAAGGACTTTCAGAAATGCATCATTCTTGCAAATTGGTTACCATATAAATCACATAGTCATACATGAATTGCCATCTTTACATTTGATGCAAAGTTCTAAGTATTGGAAACACAAAGAGTATCAAAAAGGCAACTTTAAGAGATGTATCACGATGTGCTTTGGATATGCATGGATACAATGGAAAAATTAAGATATACAAGGAAAACACAAAATAAATCCTAAAGAATATATCAATGACAATAATATGAGTTTTAGATGACAATAAATAAGTTGTATACACATAAGAAACACATCTTTAATAGTTTATGTGAAGTGTGAACTATTGAGATACACTTGGTAAATGTTAAAAAATGGTGGAAGAACTAAAATATGCATGCATATATGGTATATCTTAATTCTCAAAAAATCAATATGATCTGTGTTAATATTTATAAATATATATATATATATTAATTTTAATAATCACTTTTTCAATTATTGACAAACATCAACTAAGAAAAGAAAATGTCTAAAAATTAAATTAAGAATAAATGCAATTACTACAAGTAATTGAAGCAGGGTATAATGGTGGATTTGTTATCTTTCAACCAAAAGAAAAAGGTTCAAATCTTCTTATTTGTGGTTTTTACACCAAAAAATATGGGTTATAATAGTTGGGGGAATTCAATGGCATGCAAGAAAGTCAATTAGACAAATTTGAATAGCATAGGAGTTAATGAGAGAGAATAATCATAGGGGTTATATATAAAAATTAACGTGAGAGAATGTCCTAAAAAACGGAGTGTGTCAGATATGCCCACAGTGAAGTACCAGGAGCAATTAAGATGCGGTTCTTTTTCTTATTTTTAGATAAGTCACAAAATTGATTTTATTGAATCAGTGAATATGAAATATATACAGCATGCCAAGCGTTCCAAATGCCCATAAATTAACAATTGATATGGCATTGAACAGGACAGAATGGCGAAACAGGATTCATGTAGCTAAACCCATATAGTTGGGGCAAGGCTTAGATGATGACAATGATGCCAAGCATCCCAAATGAGAGACCGGTTTCCACTTAACCCAATAGTTAAGACCTCATAGTTGAGGCAAAATAGCTTATCCCTATATACAATTGCTATGCTAACATGTTAGCCAACTGTTGCAGACCAACATTGAACAACTAAGCATAGTTGTCAAGGCGACGCCTAGGCGACAAGGTGCCCTTTGAGGCTCGCCTTGCCTAATCGCCTAGCAGTTTTTTACTTCCTACTATAAAATACTTTTTTGTTCATTCTTTTTTGAGATTATAATTATAAAATAGACATCATTAAACTAAAATAATCATTTTGTGTGTTTATATACTAATTTCCTTTTATTGTTTTCTTATTTATTAGGGTTTAATCAAAACAAACGTTGCTAAATGTTGTATTAAACCCTCAAAGACTTCAAAACCTGAACCAATAAGTAAGGAAGAACTTAAAATTTTATCTAGTTAGCACATTTTATTCTTCCATATATTCTTCTACTTCTTCTTCTTCTTCTTCTTCTTCTTCTTCTTCTTCTTCTTCTTCTACTACTACTACTACTACTACTACTAGTACTAGTACTAGTACTACTACTACCACCATTACTTTTTCTTTTCTTCTTTTCCTATAACAAAAATAAGGGTTCATCCCCTATATTTTTTGAATTTTATTTTCCTTCTTTTTCTTCTCATGAATATGTTGATTTTCTATACTTTAATATGAACCTTATGCTTTTCTTATGAAAATTATGAATAATTATTAGGGAAATATGGTTATGGTACCTAGGGAACTACCCTAGGATCTATGTTTTTAACATAAAAATATCCATCGCCTAGGCGCCAGCTTAGGCGACTAGGCAACAAGGCACCCCCTGTAGCCTAGCCTCACCTTGGCGCCTTGAAAACTATGCAACTAATATACAATTATTTCTCAACTAAATAGAATTTCTTTTCTTTCCAAATATGCAAAATGATACAAAAAAAATTGACAAAGAAACTGAAAGCTCTTTCATGGAACTTGTTTTGTGGAGCCATATTGACAAGGAAACCAAAGGTCTTTCAGTTTGACCCGAATTTACCATCAATTACACTAAAATATTTGACAACATGATCAACTCTCTATTTATATCTCCTCCATCAATAACTCAATCTGGATTCTGGTAGATGGACTTATTTACAGTCCTACTATACAGAAAGGCAAAGCAGCCCTAGTATCAGCTTGTAGAGAGACTGGGCTGAATGGGCCCTAGTGCCCTTCTTATTACTTGTCTTTTATTAGTTATGTTTTTTGTTAGTGGGCCTTGACACCTTGTCCATATGGGCCTGTTAATTCCTTTTTATGTTATGTTTATGAGCTGGCCACCCCATCAAGGCATCTTTGCAATTCTGTTTATTACAACTGAATTAATAAAAGGTAATTAGGAGAAAGTAGAGAGAACTGATCGAACTCTCTTCTCCTTCTCCCTTCTTCTCTCACCATCTTGTTCCTCTTCTGATTTCTTCTCTTTCTTTCCTTTTCTTCTATTTTCAGATTGAAAACTTATTTTTCTTGGGTTGATTTTCTTCTTGGTGTCAAAGCAACCCTTTTCTCTTCTTTTCTTCCAATCCCATACACCCTTCGATTGGAAGAGTGTATGGAGTTAGACTGCTGATTTCTTTTGGTTGATTGCCGCCTAATTGGAGAAGGGTTTGGAGACCTAGAATCTGGTTTTTAGGACGACAAGAAGTTTCTGTTTTTCTCCTGCCCGAAACCCTAGCCAACTAGAGAGAGATTCTACTAAGGGCCAAGGAAGCTGAGTTAGGCTGGCGCTCAGGGCTTGTCAGGTCCTATTTGACTCCTAGAGGAAATTGATTTCAGTTGGGAAGCTTTCTGGAGTGTTCAGTTGGAGTGACTACAGTTCTACCAATTCTCTTTGGTTGCAGGGTTCAGTGGAACTCTAAATTATTGTGATTTCAGAGACCCTATAAGGGTTGTTCTGGTAGGGTCTCTAGAACCTTTATTGAATGCTGTGACCACAATCAACTTAGATGGAACAAATTACTTGGCCTGGGCACAATCTATATGGATTCATATTTGTAGTAGAGGCAAGTTGGGGTATCTAACAAGTAGTAAGAAGAAACTAGAAGAATATGGTCCTACATATGAAAAATGGATCTAGAAGAATTATACAGATATTGGGTGGTTAGTCAATTCCATGTAGCCCATATAAGTCAACATTACCTTTGGACAGATTCAGCCAAGGAGATTCAGGGTAGTGTTCTAGAAACATATTCTCAAAATTGAATGTTACTAGGGCCTATAAATTGAAGAACAATGTGAATAATCTAAGACAAGGGGAGAAATATGAGGCCATATATTATTCTATGCTAAAGTCCCTTTGGCAAGAGATTGATGTAATGGAAATTATTGTGTGGAAAAGCATCAATGATGCCGAAACTTATAGGAAGCTTGGTAGAAAGGAATAGGGTGTTTGAGTTTTGTTGTAAGGCTTGTTTAATTGTTACTTTATAGTTGCTATTAATAGGTTGTCCTCTTAAGATACTGTCAGTTAGTTATTTTTCCTTTTTTCTTATTAGTTTGTTTCTAGGGTGTGCCGCCAGGGGCATACTTGTAATTTCTATTCTTTTTTATTAAGTTAATATAAATAGTGAACTGGCGGCAGCCAGAGACAGTTTTTCTTTTTCTCTCAATCGTATCTCCCTTTCCTTCTCTTTCTCTCTCTCTCATCTCCCACTCTCCATGAATGATTACATGGTATCAGAGCAAGTTTTTGGGCTGTAAAAGAATTTCGGTCCCTCCTGCTTTGAACCTGCTTCGCTTTTTTTTTCCTTCTTTAAATTCTTGGATGTGGAAAACAGAGAAACCCTAGCAGATTACTGGCGGCACCTCCTGTGGGTTCTCCCTTGGTTGTAATATCAAGGAAACCCTAGTTGAAGAAGGGCGATGCTGATAGAGACTCCCTTTCTTCTCTGTTCGATGCTGTGAAGTCGATTTCTGGTTGGTACCTTCGTACAGGTGCTGGACAGGTGTGTTCTTGTTTTTGTTTTTTTTTGGCCAATGGTGTGAAGGCCTTATTCCTTGGTTCTATACATTCGTTTGGATGCTGGATTGTTAGACTGTATGGGCTGTAGTCGGACTGATAGTAACGTCTGCTTTGACTGTGTTGGACTGATTACCGGGCTGGTTTAATGACTGAACCATCACAGAGTTGATTTCAGCAGTTTCTTGTTTTCTTCCTCACATCCCAGAAGTAAATTTATTGAGGGTTGGTATTCTGCTTGTGACTGTTGTGTAGTTGTGTGAGATTTGGACTGTTTTCAGCAGTATTCTATGGCAAATTATGAATCAACTTCATCGGGGGTTACACCGACCCGCAGCACAGCTGGTATGGGAGGTGAAAACATGATGTTTCCCA